ACCTCCCTCCCTCCTACTCGCCCTACCCCCAACCACCGACACGCTCCTCCACCACCCCTCCCCCCCCCCCCCTCCCCCCCACCCCCCAACCCCCAACCCCCAACCCCCTCACACCCTCTCGTTTGCATGTAGGTGGATAACCTGCTGGTGTTCATGAATGCGGCGCTGGAGAGAGCGCAACTGGAGATCCGGCTCGAGTCGCTGCGGAACGTCACGCCGTATGTGTTACACATGGTACTCTCGCTACTGGAGCTTGAGCTGGCGGCTGTGGCAGTCTCGGAGATCCGCGCAGGCAATGTGGCTGTGAATGGCAAACGCCTGTCGCGTCCGTTGTCACGTGTCCAGTCTGAAACATCCCCGTTGACATTCTCCGAGTCGTTTGTACCGACGCCTGGGCCGCTGATCTCGTTTCTGGACGCGAGACACGAAGGCAGCATCGAGAGACCGGCTGGACCAGCGGCGGCGACGTCGCCGCCGCCGCTTGCTTCAGGCGCCCGGGACAGCACCCGCAACTTGTGGGCGACCTCCCCGAAGGCTCCTGTTGAGTCGCCGGACTCTACATCAGGCGTCACGTCCGAAGCAGATCTTGTCCCGCCGCTGACGGGCACGCATCCGCTGCTGGTCTCGGTGCTCACTGCTGAACGCTACCCAGCGCTGGCTCCGCTACTGTGCGACGAGAAAGGGAGCGCAAGCGAGCCGTCGTCGGCGCGTGGGACGCGCAAGATCGAATATGCGCCGCAGACCTCTGCTCGGTCAGCTGCCTCGGAGATCTTTTCCTTCAACGCCAGCCAAGGCAGCATCGCGTTGCAGTGCTCGGGCAGCACCGGGCTTTTGGGCTCGATGGCGGAGCACTCGAGCAACCTGGACAACACAATGGGACTTGTGGTCAACGTCGACGACGTCCATTGCGCACCGCCCCACACCATGTTTTCGGCAACAACGCCCGAGCTGTCTGCCTCGCAGCGCGAGAAAGCGCATCGCACGGTCGAAACGCCGCCGCCGCCGGCCGGGCATTTGCGGCATATATGGCAGCTAGGCTCGGCTATGTCGCTGGTGGCGTACCGCTACATCCTGGCGACAGGCATGCCGACCGAGGAGCGCTCAACGTATATTTGGTCGCTGGAGGAGTTTGACCTTGCCGAGAACCAGCTCTTCCACTTTCTTCTCACGGTCCAGGCCCACTACGAGGGCTACATGGGCCAGTTTTTGGTCTCGCACACATCGCCGCTCTTCGCGGAGCTGCTGGCGCCTGCACTTGTTTCGCAGTCGCAGGCAGGTGCGCGGCCGAGCGGATCAGACACGGCAGACGGGCTGTCGAGCTCGGAGCCACAGAAGCCCGGCAGCACCCTTACTCCGGGTCGCTCTCTTCCCTTGCAAAGAACAGGAGGCAATGCCTGCACATCGGGCGAGACGAGCAGTGACTCGGACGAGACCCGTCTAGTGGCCTCGGAGACCGACGAGGGTAGCGCGACTGACACGATTGGCGAGCCGGGCTCGCGTACGAGAGGAAAGAGTCCCTTGAAGCGGGTTCGGCGAAACACCGTCTCGACTATCCCGCGGGCAACGCCGCCGCAACGCCTGTCCGGGCGCCACGCGTGGATGGCCAGCTCGTCAAGCTCGAGCTCGTCGCCGACGCGTGGGCCAAGAGATTCGGACGAGTCCCACTCGGCGTCGTCGGTTCCTTCGCCTCGGTCAGCCACCTTTTCGGCTTCGGTCGAGCGGTCATCAACCGAGTCACGAACTGACTCGGCATCGTCGAGCGACACGTGTGTCGTCGACTCATCGGCCTCGACCGACTCGAGCTGGTCGTCGATGACAACGGTGACGGACCGGCCACTTGAGAACGATGTTATTCGGGCGAGTGAGTACTACACGCTCTCGTTCATGACGTTCAAGGTGACGATGGCATCGTGGGTGGTCTCGACGCTCGACACCGCCGGTGTCACGCTCCCGTTTCCCGGAGTGGTCAACTACTTGCTGGATGCGCCGGTCGACCCGCTGCGCAACGCGTGGATTGTGCGGCTTATGGCGGAGGCGAAGCTCAGCGAGGCGCTTGCGGCCAAGTCGGACGCCCTTCCTGAGCTTGCCCGGCCGGAGCCAGTGTCTGTTCTGGCAGCGTCTCATGTGGCCCAAGATGAGGAGGCCATGGCTGTGGTGGCGCGCCGGGCGCGAGCCGAAGTCCGGGCGATGTGTACCACGCTCTGTGGCCTCTTTGAGCTTGGCGTTGAGCCCATCGATGGCAGCGTACGGCGTGAGTGGCGGTTCGACGAGTCGTGGATGCGGTATGACCCGCGGCTGCGGGCATTCAAGCCCGAAGCCGATCCTGCGATGCCGGTGTGGAGTGCAACAGGTGACGACTCCAAGTTTATCTCGCCGCGGCTCACGTCGCGGCTCCCACTGTTTCTCTTCCAGGCGCTAGCGTGTGTGGCCCGGGCAGCAGACGAGGGCTACTGGCTCCCGCCGCGGGTGTACTGCTTTGTGGGCTCGGACGGTGGGGACACGGCGTTGGTGACAAGCGAGCGCGGGCGCGAGAACCGGCTTCCGCTTATGGTTACGCTCACCGACGAAGAGACGGGCCTCTCGTTTGACATCCGCACCAAGCGGGCGGTGCTCTCGCGCGAGGTGCGGTCGTCCGCTGATCGGGCGCGCGCCAAGCGGTCGATGGCACAGCGCGGGATCGACCTCTCGTCGTACGAGTGGATCGATGTCAAGCTCGGTCTACTCTCGGTCCCACACGTCGGCTTTGTGTACCATCCGGTACGGCAGCGGTTCATGATCCGCAACGTCAACTCGTGGCACGCCAACGATACCTTTTATGGCGGGCTCAAGCTCGCCGACGCCGAGCGGTTGGTCAAAGACGCCGATGACTTGCTCGCGCTCGAGCTGGTCTCGGGCAAGGCGCTGGTGGTCAAGGCTGGTGCCGACGACGCTCAGGGTGGCGTGGTGTCGTTCCGAGTTACGTTTGAGCAGGGCGTGCGAAGCCACCTCGACACGGCGGAACGGTTGGCATCCAAGCCGGGCCAAGTGGCGCGGCTGCAGATCGGGCCGGACCCGCCGTCGCGGCTGCTAGCCTGCGTCCTTGCGCTTGCGCAGAACGCGTTTATCGATGCGGTGTGGGCAGCCGAGTGGCAAAAGCTGCTGCCGCTGGTTGCCGACGTGGCGCCGTACGCTGAGCTTGTCCCGCGGCTGGCGCCCGAGCTCCGCATGGCCGACCTCGTCCCGTCTGCCGAGCTGCGTGAGTCTCAAACCCTGTCTTGGGCCGTCTCGGGCTACTTGGACGACGGCGTAGCCGACGTACCGGAGCCGCTGCGCTCGCGGGCGCAGGCCGTTCTTGTCTTTCTGCACCTCCAGCGTGTCGGTCTCCAGGCCGCGCACGACGGTCGGGAGCAAGGCTCGATGGTCAGATCGAGCGGGGTGGGCGCGCTCTCGGTGTCGATGCCAACGTCGGTGGGGGATCAGACGGCATCGGACATGATGGTCATGCAGCGGACCAATGATGGTGCGCCGCAGCGGCAGAGCCAGTGGCGTGGCAACTCGATGAGCTCGTCGCTCGAGCTGCTCGAGGTGGAGAAAGAGAGCACTCGGCTCTTTGCGCTCTTTGCCTTTGCCACCAAGGTCCAGGCGCAGCACGTGGCGCTCGGGGTGTTGTGGCGGCTGCTGCAGGTTGTCAACGTGGAGAACAACGGGCTGGCCGGCAAGAAGAAGACGCCCGGCGAGCTGCGGGTGAAGTTGTTTGGCAAGTCGCTAGTGAGCGGTGCGGCATGTGGAGGTAGAGGCAAGGCGGGCGGGCGGGTGCCGAGCCCGAGCCAGGCTCCGGTTGTCACCCTTGACGCCAAGTCGGATCGAATGGCCAAGCTCAAGGCGCGGCGTGCGGCGCGGGCCAAGGAGCGCAAGGAGTCCGAGCGGGCGTCGCGCGGGCACGACGGGGTGCAGCTGAGTGCGGCGCTGGCTGCGTCGAACGGGGTCTCTCCCTCGGGGCCGGCGCCTGTGGCGGGTGCGGTTGGGCCGGTTGTCCTCGGCTCGTCGCTCCTCGACTCGGCCAAGATGGCGGCGAGTGTGCGGTTTTTCAGTGAGGGGCGGTTTGGCGGCGAGACAGTGCTCCATCACGCTGTTCGCGGGCAGATGATTGACGTTGTGCACTACATCCTCGCGTTAGGCATTGTGTCTGTGAAGGAGCGGAACAACTCGGGCTTCACCGCGCTGTACACTGCCGCGATGCTCGGCAACACACGCCTGAGCGCAATGCTGCTGCTTGCCGGCTCGCGGGTGGACGAGGCGTGTGGTCTCAACCACGAGACGACCATCTTGCACGAGGTGGCGCAGGCCAACTTGCTGGAGATTATGGCACTGATTGTGGAGCTCACAGACGATACCAAGTACGGAGTGCTCGATGCGCACGGGCGGACGGCGCTGCAGCTCGCGGGCTCGGTGGAGATGACCAACGTGCTCAAAGCCATGACGCCACAGCTTCCGCCCAACTTTAACGTTATTGACTTTTCCGAGGTCCTGATCGGCCCGCGGCTCGGCGAGGGTGGGTTCTGCACCGTCTACGCCGGCAAGTACTCCGGGTGGGAGGTTGCGGTGAAGCAGATGAAGGTGACTGTCGACGAGCAGCTGCGTGACCCGGAGATGACAACGACGTTTATCCGCGAAATCGGGTTCCTCACCAAGCTTGTCCACCCCAACGTGGTGCGGCTCTACGGCGTGTCGCAGGGCGAGAAGCCTGCACGGTGGCACATTGTCACCGAACTGTGCGAGAACGGGACTCTGGCGCGGTTGCTGGACCGTGCGGCGACGCTCGCGTGGTCGACGCTGCACATGGTGGCCATGGACGTGGTCCGGGCAATGGCATATCTACACACACGCGCTCCGGTCGTCTTTCACTGCGACATTAAGCCGTCGAACATCCTGCTCGACCGCTCGCTGAGGGCGCGGCTCTCGGACTTTGGCCTCTCGCGAGAGGACGAGGCAGCCGACGACAAGGCTCAGCCGTCGCAGAGCCTGGTGGGCACGGTGCGATACATTGCGCCCGAAGTTATGTCCAATGGTGTCGGCTCGTACTCGCGCAAGGCAGACGTCTTTTCGTTTGGCGTCATGCTGTGGGAGATGATGTTTGCCTACGTCCACGGCACCCACATCCTGCCGTACGACACGATGAGCGGGCCTTCGGCGCCCGACGCGCCCAAGCCTGCCGGTGAGGGCGCAACACTCGACTCACACCTTGTTCTCCTCATCTCGACTAACGAGGTTGTCCTCGACATGAGCGGTCTGCCCAAGGGCGCGGTCGAGCTCCTCCAGAAGCTCATTCATCCCTCGCCAAGCGTCCGCCCGCTGTTCTCCGAACTCGGCGACATGCTCGCGGCGGTGGAGAATGTGCGGCGGCTGTAAAGTGGCGTCATTGTCGTGTGCATGTTACGTGGGGCCATGACAGAGATCAGAGGGAGGGGGAGGGGGGGGGGGGAAGGAGGGGAAATTATCAGCAGCACTTCTTCTTCTTGGCCGGGGCAGCGTCGTCGTTCTCGTTGTCGACAACGATGACCTTGGAGGCGTTATTGGCCATGGGCTTGGTCTTGCCCGAGCCGGCAGCGTCCGAGTTCATCGACTTGCGCGACACCTTTTCGTAAATCTTGGTGAGGATGGAGGAGAAGGCCTCCTCGACGTTGGAGGCGTCGAGAGCAGAGGTCTCGATGAAGGAGATGCCGTTTTCCTGGGCAAAGGCCTCGGCGTCCTCTGTCATGACGACGCGCAGGTGACGCAAATCGGACTTGTTGCCGACCAGCATGACCTCGATGTGGTTCTCGGCGTGGTCGCGAAGCTCCTTGAGCCAGCGCTCGACATTGGAGAAGGTCTCATACTTTGAGATGTCGTAAACAAGGAGGGCACCGACCGCGCCACGGTAGTAGGCCGAGGTAATGGCCCTGTACCGCTCCTGGCCAGCAGTATCCCAGATCTGTGCCTTGAGCACCTTGCCGTCATCAGTCGAGATGGAACGGGTGGCAAACTCGACTCCGATGGTCGACTTTGACTCGAGCGAGAACTCGTCGCGGGTGAACCGGGAGAGCAGGTTGGACTTGCCGACGGCCGAGTCACCGATAAGAACGACTGTGTATGAGAGGGGGAGGGGGGGGGGGGGGG